ACAGGGAAGGTGACAGGGAATAGGAGAAATAGGTCATAGATTATGCACTATATATTGTTAAATAGGTATTATTAATGATGTATTATGTATTATGTATTATTAAATAGGTATTATGACTGATGTATTATGTATTATTAATTACGTATTATTAAATATGTATTATGTTCTATGAAATATGTATTATTATGTATTATTAAATATTTATTGTGTGTTATCAAATAGGTATTATTAATTATGTAATATGTATGATTAATTATGTATTAATAAATATGTAACATGCTATTAATTATATAACATTAAATGTGTATTATTAATTATGTATTAATAAATATGTATTATTAGTGATGCATTATGTATTATTAATTATGTGTTAATAAATATGTATGATTAATTATGTAATATGTACCGTTTGTTATTAGTTATGTATTATGTATTATTAATTATGTGTTAAGTATTATTGAATATGTATTATGTAAAAATGTATTATTAATTATGTATTATTATGTATGTATTATTAATGATGTATTATGTATTATTAATTATATAGTATGTGTTATTAGCCATGTATCATTAAATATATATTAACTATGTATTATGTATTATCAATTATGCATTATTAAATATGCATTTAATCCTATATGATCGTATAAACCCCCTGATTTTGTGAGAACCCTTCGAGCAAAGTTCTCTGTGGTGCAAACCCGGCGTTGGCAACAAACCCCTTCGCTGCCCAAAAGATCCCAAAGTCGGTTCTTTATACACAGGATTTTTTTGGGGGATCACAGGATTTCTTTTTGGGATCACGGGATTTTTTTTTGGGATCCGGGCCCCACCTCGTCGGCCAGGAATCGCAGCTTCTGCAGGAAGTTCTGCGCCAGCTTCAGCTTCTCCCGCAGCGTGTTCCGCTTCACCTGCTGCCGCAGCGCCCGAGCCTGCTGGGACAGCCCCTCCTGCGGAAAAAACGGGATACAGGGAGGCGGGACAGGCACCGGGAGGCGGGACACGGCACCGGGATACAGGGAGTGGGGACACGGCACAGGGAGAGGCACCGGGATGGGGGGAAGAGGAGTGTGAGAAATAAAAATACGGGATTTTTATATATAAACTTGTCCCAAACTGAATTAAAACTTGTCCCAAACTGAATTAAAATTCTCCTCTCCTTCTCTCTCTCTCCCTCTCCCTCTCCCTCTCCTTCTCTCTGTCTCCCTCTCCCTCTCTCTCTCTCCCTCTCCTTCTCTCTCCCTCCTTCTCCCTCTCCTTCTCTCTCTCCCTCTCCCTCTCCCTCTCCTCCCCTCTTCCCACTGGGAGTTCCAGCCCAGCCCCTCCCCACCCTCCCAGCCAGGAATCCCTTCCCAATCTCCCCTTTCCCACTGGGATCCATTCCCTGGGTCCTGGCATTCCAGGCCCTGATCCCCAGTCCCTCTCCAGCTCTCCTGGAGCCCCTTTAGGCTCTGGAATGTGCTCCAAGCTCTCCCTGGAGCTCAGTGTTTTCCTTTAATCCCTTGGAGCTGCATCCCACAGGATTTGTCTGCTGGGAAACAACCCCAGCCTGGAGCCATCTCAGCCAGCAGCACCTCCAGCTCCAGGGAATCTTGGAATTCCAGACTGGTTTGGGTGGGAAGGGACCTTAAATCCCATCCCATTCCATGTTCAGGGACACCTCCCACTATCCCAGGTGGCTCTAACCCGGCCTTGGACACTCCCAGGGATCCAGGGGCAGCCACAGCTTCTCTGGGAATTCCAGCCCAGCCCCTCCCCACCCTCCCAGCCAGGAATCCCTTCCCAATCTCCCCCCCAAATCTCCCCTTTCCCACTGGGATCCATTCCCTGGGTCCTGTCCCTCCAGCCCTTGTCCCCAGTCCCTCTCCAGCTCTCCTGGAGCCCCTCTCATCCCCAGTGTCCCCTTTTGTCCCCAGTGTCCCTTTTGTCCCCAG